CGACGAAGTCAAAGTGAAGAACACCCTAACAGTAAGTTCATTAAATTATAGCTATATTATAACTCCAGACTTTAAAATATATATATATATTTCTGGTGAAGGAAAAATGTGTTGTCGTAATGTGAAAATAATGTGTTGAACTAATTAATTTAGCCTATATGAATCAAAGCCAAGCCTATCATCAGTTCACATTCCTTAATTAAAAACAGAATATTAAGTATTTTCAGTGTTTCTATATATGCATGTGTTTTTGTGTGTTCCAGTGTGTGATCTGAGGATTGTTCTTCTGGGGAAGAATGTATCAGAAAACAGCCGAGTCAGAAACTCAATCCTGGGAATAGATGTGCATGAGAGTGATGCACATATAAAGCAGCACAATGTGCTGAAAATCAGTGAAACAGTGAAGAACAGACACGTCACAGTCATTAACACTCTTCATCTGCTGAATCCTAACCTCTCAGATCATCAGATCACACAGACAGTGAGAGAGTGTGTGAATCAGTCTGATCCAGGACCTCATGCGTTCATATTCATACTGCAGTATGAAGACTTCACCGAGGAGGACATGCATAGAGTGAAACTTGTGCTCAACAAATTCAGTGGAGAAGCAATTAAACGTACCATCGTTCTCATGACTAATGAAGAGAGAGACGACTCATACATTCATCAGCTAATAAAGGAATGTGGGGGAAGACATTTGGAGTTTGAAAAAGAAAACCCAGAATGGCAATCGGACATATTCAAGAGGGTTGATAAGATACTTCAGGAAAACCAGGAAGAATATCTCATATGTGAAATATTTCATGATGCTGAAGGAACATCAGTGGATGAAGAGCAAAGCAGATCTCATGGTTCAGTCAGATCAGAGGGAAAAAACAAAGAGCGTTCTTATTACAAAGATGATGGAAAACCAAAACAGAGCAAGAGAAATGAAGGAAGTCAAAGTAAGTAAAAAATAATTTCTCTTTTTATTATGCTAATGAACAACACTTTTGGTCGTGGCCTAATGGTTAGAGAGTCGGGCTTGTACCCCAGAGTCTTGGTACGAGCAGGGATTGTAGGTGGGGGGAGTGAATGATCAGCGCTCTCTTCCACCTTCAATACCACGACTGAGGTGAGACCCTTGATCAAGACAACGAACCCCCAACTGCTCCCTGGCCACTGCAGCAAAAACTGCTCCGGGTGTGTGTTCACGGTGTGTGTGTGTTCATGTGGATGGGTTAAATGCAGAGCACAAATTAAACTAAACCGTTTTTAAACAAAACATGTCAAGAGAGTTTTCATATTCAGTTTGACTATCAGCACTTATTTCATTATTGTTGTTAAATTGTGCCATGTGCTTTGTGTCCCGGAAAGTTGCCAGCAGACAGTGTTTCATAAAAATATGCACTGTGAATCATTCTCATTGTATTGTGTGTAATGAAATTGTACAGAACAGAAGAACTCTGTTCAGAAGGGTCAGGTTTAGTCCCAAGTGGAATCTCAAAGGAAGTGAATTGGAATAAGAACACAAGAATGAATTGAGGAACAGCTTTGGAGCAAATAACAAAAGAAAAAAAAAAAGCTTACCAAATCAAAGTAACTACAGGATGAAAAATGTTTTCATGAAAGATGATTTTTCAACATTTTTACATTGTCAAATAATCTTTTCATTCTCTTTCTTTTTTTTTTCTTTTTTTTTTTTTTACAGTTGACATAAGACAGCGGATTCGCTCCAACTGTAAGTTGATGAAACTACTGCAAGCTAGCTTTTAGCTGTTTTTTTTTTTATTTGCATATATTTTTTCCATATCCTAAAATGCGTTTGTCGTTTAAGGAAGTCTAATGTCTTTAATTTGTTTTTCAGTCTCTGTAAAACAGAAGCTGAACCTGGTGTTGTGTGGAAGTGATCCAACATTTAAAGTCTCTCTGTCAAAACTTTTACGAGGAAAAAATATAACACCACATCAGAGAGAGAGCAGTGAAGTGTGTGTGAAGAAAGAGAAGAGGATTCATGATCGTCAGATCAGTCTGCTGGAGCTTCCAGCTCTCAGTCGTCTCTCAGAGGAGGACGTGATGCATCAGACTCTCAACTGTGTGTCTCTCTGTGATCCTGGAGTTCATGGTTTCCTCCTCATTGTTCCTGCTGGTCCACTTACTGATGGAGACAAAACAGAAATAGAGAAGATCCAGAAGAACTTTTATTCCAGAGAGCACTTTATAGTAATATTTATCAATGATGGCCCTGTTAAAAGACCAGTGACAGAGTTTATAAAAAACAGCACAGAATCTCAGAGGTTAATCAGAAGTTGTGGAGGTCAGTACTGTGTGATGGGGTTAAAGGAAAATCAAAGAGTTACAGCTGAAGATTCCATCAGAAGGTGAGTGTATATTTTTAGAGATGCACCGATTGCAATTTACTTGGCCGATTCCGATTTAGGATTTTTTTGGAAGTGTTACCTGCCAATACCGATTTTTGCCAATTCCGATTTTCTCGCCAAGAACTATAATTGACAGCATATACAAACAAAAATCTATACAAATTTCTATGCAAAAAATTATTTACATAATAAAATAAAATATTAAACATTACAATTCTGGACTAAGTTACAGATGTTCTCTCGACATGTTTACATGCGGATGTGAGCGTAAGTGTGACGTCAAAACGGACCGGCCGGTCACCGGTCTGGGCCAATCATGAGGAAAATCGGCTAATTTCGGTCCCAGGCCAGTCGATCGGTGCATCTCTATTTTTTTTCTTTACCTTTATGCATCTTCATCAGAATGTAGAAATCACAATTTTACAGCAATCATGTTGTGTGTCCTCCAAGTCTGTTGTTAAAGGGATAGTTCACCCAAAAATGAAAATTACCCCATAATTTTACTCACCCTCAAGCCCTCTGGGGTGTATATGACATTCTTCTTTCTGAGAAAAACAATTAGAGTTATATTATAGTGATATAGTGGGCGATAGTTCTCCTCTGGCTATTACAATGCAATTAAGGCGTTTATATGCCTGTTTATTGCGATTATAATATGTATACGCTGCATATTTCAATACCATTTTGCTTGCTACAAATATGAGCTTAATCACATTATTTTTTTCAAATTATTGCATTTACATGAGGTAAAGTTTAATCTCAATATTGCCAAAATCCCATTACAATTGCATTATGAGGATGCATGTAAACGCACTCATTGTTTAGTGTTATTTATTTTCATTAGTGTTTTTTTTTTGTTGTATAAGATATGGAATGAAAAACACCAACAATAGAACTGCATTATATTAATAAATGTATACATGCATGACTTTTAGGTGCTGAATGTTCAGATGATCCAAAGTGTCTGAGGATTGTGCTGATCGGAAGGACAGGAAATGGAAAGAGTGCAACAGGAAACACTATTCTGGGAAAAAAAGAATTTCACAGTCAGTTAAACACAGATTCAGTGACGACTATTTGCAAGAAGGGAGTTGGTGAAGTTGATGGTCGATCAGTAGCTGTTGTTGATACTCCAGGACTCTTTGACACGACACTGACAAATGAACTAGCGGTGGAAGAAATAATGAAATGTGTTTCACTCTCGTCACCTGGACCTCATGTGTTTGTAATTGTGTTGAGTGTGGGGAGATTTATTCAGGTGGAAACAGACACTGTGGATCTGATAATTCTGAAAAGAAATGAGTTTGTGAGTCAAGCAAATATGGATTCAGTGACGACTGTTTGCATGAAGGGAGTTGGTGAAGTTGATGGTCGATCAGTAACTGTTGTTGATACTCCAGGACTCTTTGACACGACACTGACAAATGAACTAGCGGTGGAAGAAATAATGAAATGTGTTTCACTCTCGTCACCTGGACCTCATGTGTTTGTAATTGTGTTGAGTGTGGGGAGATTTATTCAGGTGGAAACAGACACTGTGGATCTGATAAAGAAGATGTTTGGTCATAAAACTGCTCAGTTCAGCATCGTTCTGTTCACTAGAGGAGATGATCTTGAGGGTGAATCTATAGAAAAATATGTGGAGAGAGGAAACAATGCTGAGGTCAAGAAACTAATCAGAGATTGTGGAAACAGATTCCTGGCTTTCAATAACAGAGAAAAACAAGACAAAACTCAAGTGATTCAACTGTTAAACATGATAGAAGAGGTGAAAAATAATAATGAGGGCCGATACTTCACTAACAGCATGTTTGAGGAGGCAGAGATGTCCATTAAGAAGAGAATGGAGGAAATAATGAAAGAGAGGAGGCAGAGATGTCCATTAAGAAGAGAACGGAGAAAATAATGAAAGAGAGAGAAAGAGAGATTCAGGCACAAAATGAGGCATTACAAGCCAAATATGAGCTGGACATGAGAGACATGTTGAAGAGACTCGAGGAAGAGAAACAGAGAGCAGAAGAAGTGAGAATGAAAATGGAGAATCAACTAAAAGAAAAAGAGGAAAAACTCAGAAAAGAGTTTGAAGAGAAAGAAAAAATGGAACAGAAGAAACGAGAGACTGAAAACCAGAAACGATCAGCAGAGGAAAAACAGCAAAGAGACGAATATCATAGAAAAATCGAAAAGATGAAGAGAGAGACTGAAAACCAGATATCACAGTATGAAAAACAGCAACAAGAAAGAGAAGAAGAAGATAGAAAGAGAGAAGAGAAATACAGACGAGATCAAGAAAAGATGAGAAATGAACAAGAACGTGTTATAACTCAGTTAAAGAAGAAACAAGAACAAGAAATAAACAAGAGAGATTTGGAGAGGAAACGGAGGAACGACGAAGAAGAGAAAGAGAGGCAAGAGTGGGTGAGAAAAATAAAAGAGGCTGAAAATGACAGAAAAGAGGAAATTAAGCGACAGCAGAGAGAATGGGAGGATGACAAGAAACGACAGATAAGAGAACGAGAGGAAGAAGAGAGAAAGAGAAAAGAGAAACACGAGGAGCAACTGAGAGAAAAACAAGAAGAACTGGAGAAAATGAGAAAGAAATTTGAAGGAGAGAGAGAAGAAGAAAGATTGAATATAGAAAGAGAGAGACAGAAACAGAGAAGAGAGAGAGAAGAGAAAGAGAGAGAATATGAAGAAAAGAAACTGGAAACAAAAAGTTATTATGATCAGCTGGAACGAGAGAGAAAAGATGAGTGGGAGAGAGTGAAACGAGAAGATAATGAGAGACGAGAAGAAGAGAGAAAGAGATGGGAGAAAATGATTGAAGATCTGAAACAAGAACAAGAAGAAGAGATCAAGAGAAGAGAAACAGAGAGAAAAGAAAGAGAAGAGAAAGAGAGAGATGAAATGAAACAGAAACATGAAGAGGAAATAAAACACATGAAGAGGAAACATGAGGATGAAGCCAGAAAACAAGCAGAAGAATTCAATGATTTCAGAGAAAGAAATGAGCAGTACTTTCAGGAGCTCAAAGAGATGCTGGAAGAACGTCAGAAACAACAGGAATTACTGGAAAAACTCTATCAGCACTTCAAAGGTGAGAAAGGAGAAGAAATAAAAGAGCTGCAACAAGAAGTTGAAAAACTGAAAAATAAATCAGGCTGTGCCATTCTGTGATTGATTTCAAAGCATAAAGATGAGTGTCAGCAACATTAATGCTTCAGTTTTATTTTCTGTTTATAGTTACCTTAAGCTGTTTGATTAGAATTGCCTTTCTGACAAAATGAAAAAAGCCAAAACATTGAAAAATGTTGTTATTGTAATACTGTTTTGAACCATTTCATATTGGCATTTTCATATTGCTTGCGTACTTCAGTATCATGGCCATGAGCAGTGTTGGAAAACGAGTGAGGTCTGGGGTGGGGTTAAGAATTGTGCTATAAAAACCCCTACAAATAAAACTCATTATATACAGTAAACGCTTTAAAGGAGACAGACATGTAGATGTTTGTGAAAGATGTTTTCTCTGTTTTGGAGGGATGAGCATTGTTAAATTACATCATATTGCACCATTACTTAGGGGTGTATAACTTTATCAGTTGTTTATTTGTCATTCAACAAAACATAGGCCTATTACAGTAATACAACTATATTATACTGTTATTAATTGTATTACTGTTATAGTTTTTATTAATAACCATTGCTATATAGATGATAACTTTGTCTAGTGCCCCTATGAATGTTGTTGGCATGACTTTGTGAAAATTTTACAACAATACTCAATAAAATAGCATATACGTAACCTACTTGTTCTTCAGATCTCTGCACTAGTGTTATATGCTACTGTTTTGATAGCGTTGAAAACGTTTCTGACAGATAATATCATGTTGTTGTTGTTTTTTGTTTTTCCGTTTGCCTTACCGAATGTGATATCCTGTCAGCAATAACATGTCCGTGGGCTCTTTTGATTACTGTCAGTTTAAGTTCTGGTGATCATTGCAATGTACAGATATTGCGACGAAAACAAATAAAAACCAACAAATAAATAAACGGACATTAGTTCAAGTCTTTTGTAAATAAGATAAGATAAAGATATCGCTAACCCTAAATTGCAACTTCCCGCTCTATTAACTTTCTAAAGTGTCAAATTAAAGGTGGGGTAAGCGATTTCTGGTAGCCAATGTTGATATTTGAAATCACCAAAACAAACCAGTGCACTGAACAGCTCTTTCCTCCACATCATGAGTAGACACGCCCCTTACTGCTGATTGGCTACAAGTTTGTTTTGCTATTCGGCCCGAATCTGTTTTCTAAAGCGTTTTTGGAAAATCGCTTACCCCACCTTTAAGTAAAATTTACAAAACAAAGAGTCAATCAAATTTACTGGGAATTCCCAAGTTAACTTAACTTCAAAATTTCTATTTAAAGCTACTAATAATTATGTTTAGGCTTTTACTTGTCAAATTTTTGTAAATTAACTAGCCTTTTCCGAGTGAAAATTGTTTCCAAGCTTTTTTCAAGTAAATCCTACTCCACATTTTTCATATTAGAAATATCTTGATTTGTCTTTATCGCTTATATCTCAGTGAGGCAGAGGTCCCTGAGGCTGAGGGTGCTTTCACACCTGGCTCATTTGGAGCATTTATTTCAGAACCTGTCCTATTTTCTCCTTTAGTCTCCAATATCAATCTTAATGCAATAAACCACACTTAGCATTTTTTTTTATTTAGCATTAACATTTATTTATTTAGCATACACTTTTATCCAAAGCAACTTAATTGGGAATACAACTAGAGATTCATCAAAAAGAGGCAATGAACACCAGAAGAGCTAAAAGGGAGGGATATATGTAGGAATAGTGAAAGAATAGAGTGAGATGGGGGATTTTTTCAATAGGTGGCAGTTAAGTTCTCACGGAAGATATGGGTTTTCAGCTTCTTCTTGAATATTGTCAGGGATTCGGCTGTCCAGATAGGGTTAAGTAGATCATTTCACCAGCAAGGAACAGTGAACAAGAAGGTTCTGGAAAGTGATCTTGTGCCTTTCTGTGATTCACAGACTGCAGGCTTCCTGAAGTTGATGTAAAGTTCTGTATGCAAGCATTAATGTCTTGCACTTGATGTGAGCTGCAACCAATAGTCAGTGTGGGGAGATAAAGAGAGGTGTAGCAGGGACCAGTCATGCTGTAGTATTGCAATGCCCAAACTGTTAAATACAGGCAGTGCAACAGAATTTTCCAATTGGTAGTCCTGTGATGCACGGTAATTCTTCTCATTCAGCACTGGCATGTATTTAAGTCCAGTGTTTCAGGTAACATTCACATAGGAGTGCAACAAAATGAAACCCAACAAGGGAATTCAATAATTCAAAAACGTTTTCACTTGATAGCACCTTATGAAGCAAAAACATGCATTTTTTCGTCTGTTATTGAAGGGCACAGGATTTTCCATGGTCCTTCTCCCAGCTGTCAATGATCTGAACATTTCTGACTTCAATTCTCATGCGTTCTGCAGCATACATATCAGCCATCTCTTTATATCTCCTCATGGCCTCGTCCATCTTCTGCCTGCATTCTTCCATTTCTTTATAATGCTGATTTAGTTGTTCTTTCTCTGCGTTTCTCTCATCTTCAGAGGTTTTAGGTAAATCCTCACTGCTCTGTTGGTCTGTGACTCTATCTTTTAACTTGTCTTCATTCTCTTCTCCACTTGCTGCTTCTTTTGTTTTACATTCTTCTGTCCTCTCAATCTTTTTCCTTAGCTTTATGCCTCTTTTTAAGGATTCCAACCCCCTCCATTTTTTAACATGTTTCTTGCGATCTTGGTCAGATTCTCTTCCAGGTTTAGGTATCTCTCTATCCAGATCTGTTGTTCCTGTAAGCTGATTTTCCTGCTTTTCAATCTGATCA